ACTACCTCTAAGAGGGCCTCCTGGCCATATTAAAACAGCATCAGGGCCTTTGACCAAGCAATTCTGCTTCTGGGAAGCTATCCTGCAGGTCCACTTATGCCTGTGTGCAGTTCAGTGTAGTGGAGCTAAGAGCTGACGGCTGGAAACGGCCTGAACATTCATGATAGGGGCTGGTTCAATGGAACCGGGGCCTGTCCCAACAAGGGAATATTGGAGACTCCTCAGCTATTGAGACAGACTTTTAAGCAAAACAAAAAGCAAAGTGCAAAACTTGTGCAGAATATGCTACCATTTGTGGAAAAAAAAAACCACCCAAACACCGGGAGGCACGGGGGTGTTACACATATTTGTTGGTATATGCATAAAATGCTGCTGGGGAGATCTGAGGGATGGTTACCCCATGGAGGGAGGTGGCAGGAGGGAACCCTTGGAATGCTTTGAGTTTAAGCCATGTAAATATATTACCTATTAAAATGAGAATAAAATTAGGTAAGAAAAAAACCAGGTCGCAGGGAGACATGGGGATGAGACTTCTTGTTTGTAGCTTTTGGATTTGGAGCCCTGTCTGGATGTTTTGGGGGCCTGATGCGCGAGACACAGAGTCCAGACCCCACTGTCCCCAGATGGGGGCTGAAGCACGGGAGTGAGGGGGCAGAGCCGATTTCTGAAAAGTGACAATTTTTATCTCCGTTATCTGGCATTCAAACACACAAGTGAGATGTGTTTACTTAACCAGGAGGGGAAATCTGGGCAAGAGGCTGGTGGATTTGCACTGCGCCCCTGTCACACACACAGCTGGCTCTGGAATTCTCGCTGGGAGGCCGGGACCTGGGCTTTGCCACTGCTCAGCTGGGAGGATGGCTGGCTGGCAGGAGAGGCTTTATGAGCACAGCTTGGGGCTAACATTTAGTTGCCCAGTAGAGCAAGGAGTCAAGGAAGACATCAGCTGCCCAGAAACACTGGAAGCTTCCTAAGCTCCGGGCCCAGCCGACCTCCCCATGATAACTGAGGGGCGGCCCTGACGATTCCAGTCTACTGCATTAGGGGCAGCGGGGAGGCACGGGTGTGGACCGGGGTCCACAGCGAATGTTTCAGCTTATTCCCACAGGGTCCCTGTGCTCCCTCCAAGCCCTCCTCCCTCACCTGGCCTCCAGCACCTTCGGCCTCCAGGTGGAGCTGCCTCGAAGACACCTGCCCTCACCGCCTTGCTGCTTCTCTGCCCACCCACCTGAAGAAGGGGTTTCGCAATTTATCAAGACTTGAGTGCAGACCCGGCCCCTTGCTTGCTCCTCCCCCTCCCTCTGCGTCCACACTAATCTTGCCCTCGAGGCTGCAAGATGTTCCCGTCATGCCCCACGGTTGACGGAATATGTAGGAAGGACATCTGGTGAATCCCTTCATTTCACAGATGGGGGAAACTGAGGTCAGAGAGAGAGAGCAAAGCAGGCACTTGACTCTGATCTCCCCGGGATGAGGCTCCCAGGGGAAGCAGAGGACTGGGGAGTCCCGTGGAGGCAGGCCTGAGGCAGGGGTCTCCGCCAAGGCTGGGAGAGGGGTCAGTGGGGTCTCTGCTGGGAAGGCATGCCTGAGAGGAGAGCGGCTATGAGGTGGGAGGCCTGGGGGAGAGCCTACATTGCTTCTGGGCTCTCCAGACGGACAAGCCCTGAGAGGCCCCTGGAGCCACAGCCCAAACATCAGAGAGCTGGGTGCAGCCGCCTCTTGATGCCCACAGGCTGCTGGGGTCACAGGAAGAGAAACCCCAGCTAACGGGCCTCAGCTGAAGCAGAGGGGCCTTGATGTTGTCCCATACCAGGTGGCCTCAGGGAAGGTTTCCTAGAAGGGGGCGGCGTGGGGCTCACAGTGGTGGATGGGGACAGGCATTCCATGCAGAAGAAACAGCACCAGCAAGGCGAGGCACGAGGCTGCCAGGGCCGCCCCATCTCCCACAAACAGTGGCTGCGAGGACAGCCGTGCATCCTGTAGGCCAGGGGTCTCCACCGGTAGATGACATGGTACCACTGAACGATGACGGGGAGCAGTCTGCGCCCCGACTCCCATTGGTTCCGCACCTGTTTGAGGGGTTCTTTGGAAAAGAGTTTCTGCTTCGAGGTTTTCTGTTGCAAAGGCTGACTGCACCCCGGTGGATCTTGGGGCAGCCACTGGGGCATGAGAAAGGGACAGGCTGCTCGGTGGGCAGTGGAGCCTATGATCTAGAGGAAATGGGGCTGGCTCGGGGGGTGACTGGGCTGGGGGACAGGATATGGCTTGAGGGTGGGGTGCAGCAGCTGGCCTTCTTGGCAGGCAGGGCTGATGATTAGCACCTGGGGACTTGGGAGCATGGTGGGCAGGGTCAAGAATGTGGGCTCCTGACCAATACCCTCTTTTTCCTTGGAATGCAAGGAGCCACTGCCTTGTGGATGCTCCAGCTGGCCAAAGCCGCTGACACTCCTGTTTGTAGGGGGTGGTGGGCCGTGCTCTGCTCACCTGGCTCCTGTGAGCCGCTCCAGTCTCCCCTCATACGTCAGGTGCCCAGCCTGCCCTGCCTGCCTCCTCAGCCCTCAGAGACCCCAACTTTAGCTGGAGAGACCGCTACTGTTCATGTGAGGTGACAAGATGAGAGCCCTCGCTGGGGGTGGCAGGGGGTGAATGTGGGGCTAAGCCCTGGGAGGCAGCTGGCTAGGCAGAAGCACACCCAGGGGAGCCAGGGTCAGTGTCTTCTGGGGAAGAGGGAGATGGACTAGCTGCTCACCAAGACTTACACCCCTGCTCTCCCGTGACCATGTATAATGTAGGCTGGGAGGTCAAGGTTAAGAGCAGGATGATGAAGGCCAGGTGGAACGCAGCCTGAAGCAGAGGAAAGAGGTTCTGCGTTGGAAACTGGGAGGTCAGGGGGGCACGGGAGCTGAGGGGACGTGACAAAGGCCAGGGCTGAGGTTGGAGCCTGTTCCATGACAGGCGCTCAGATCCAGGAGGGAGGCCCCAGCCCACAAGCTAGGCTGAGATGCGTGGGCCATGGCACCAACACCCCCCAGCACTGAGACAGACGTGCAGCAGCCCGGCTCTTCCACTGAGGAGACTGAGGCGAGCTGGAGGAAGGCTCTCACAGACCTCTCTGGAGGAGAAGCGCGTCCCGCACCCCCACCAAAGATGGGCCGCACCTTCCCAGACTCCTTTGAGCTTTGATTCTCCTTCCTCTCTCTAAACATCACCCGTCTTCCCTGCTGCTCTTTTGGAAGCAAACTCTTGCTGCCCAGGGCTGAAGATGACAGGGGGCTGTGGGGGAAGAGCACCCCAGGACGTGGACTGAGCAGCAGACCAGTCCCAGGCATCTTGATTAGCAGGCTGTCAAGAGGGGGCTGCCCCTGAGGACAGAATGCCAGGAACATTGCACCGCGAGAGGAGGGAGAGGGAGGTTGTGGAGCCACAGGGGACATGCCAACTGACTGGGCTCGGCAGCACTGGGGCCTGCGTTGTTCTGAAGTTGCCATAATGAGAGGACATGTCTGACTTATCCTCTGCTTCAAGGCTGGACTGGGCACCCGGAGCTTCCTGCCCCTGCCTGCCGGGTGTTCACACTGATGCCACACAGGTGACCCAAGGAAGGAGGAACTTGTGGCCATCCCAGGCCCTGGGCCTCTCCACACAAAGGCAGCCGGCATCACTGCCTGCGGCTCAGAGGTGGGCCTGCTCTTTGCTCTCAGTCAGAAGGGAAGTAACAGGCTCTCAAGGCTCGGCCTAGGCAGCACCCCCTTTCCCCAGAGCCACTCCAGTTTCCAAAAGCAAATCAAATCCTGTGGAATTTTAAAAATCACCTTGCATCTAGCATGTTCTTGCCTAGATCGAGGCTAAGGAAGAGCAAGAAGCCTCATGAGCTCAAGCCAGAGGAGCCCCCTTTGTGCAAGCAGCTGAAATAAACTTGACTTCTCCCACAGGGCAGGCAGTGCAGGAGGCGCCCACCGGCCAGCACCAGGCACATGAATTCCTGGTGCCAGCGGTGGGGCCGTGCTTGGAGGGCGCTGTGCCAGGGCACATGGAGGCTCTCAGACTGTGAGGTGGTGAGGCATTTGGGCCCAAAGGCCAAGTGGCCTGGGCGAGCAGCACTTCTCGGCCAGGAGGATGGGCAACAGGGCAGCTGAGGCCCCTAGGGTCCAGGTGTGGCCACTGAAATTGCCGACTGCCCTACCACCACCCCTACCAGGGAGCCCCTGCACTAGGCCGGAGGATCTTGGGGAGAGACCCCAGTCACATCAGGCCTTGATACCGATTTGTTCTCGACCGTGCCCTCAGGGCCAGGTCCTTCACTGTCCTATCGGGGTGGACTGGCACCTGAAGGCTTTCCAGAGCTGTTGGAGCATAAAACACTAACGGCACTGAAACTACAGGCTGGCTGTTTTCTCAGGAAACTACTGGGGGGTGGGGAGCAGGGCTGGGGGGGCCCAAGGGGAGGAGAGCAAAGGCACAGCATAAGGGGCAGACAAGGCAGTATAACCAGGAACTCTGCCTTCTGTGCACCTCCCTCCACCTCTACACCTGAAAACTGCCCCCAAAAATGAGATTTTCCAGGCCAAGACACTGGGGCACCAGCCTACCAGAGAGTGACCCTGAGGAGAAGGGCGGAAGGCTTGGTCTCCCCAGGGCAACCTCTGCCCCTCTGGAAGATGAAGGAAGATGGAGCTGAAAGGTCCAGGCCCAGCTGACCCTCTGACCCCGCATGCCAATCAGACAGGGATCCCAACCCCTACCCTCTTCCCTGCCAGCCCTCAACCACGTGGTGGCCCTGCCCCTGCGGTAGGGACAGATTCGGCTCCAGGCTCCGCCCAGTGCAGTCCTTAGCGTGGCCTGGGAGGCTGATTTGAGTTGATTCCTGGGGTGCTTCTGGGGACGCAGAGGAAAGGCTAGGCAAAAGGCACCCGAACGGCAGATTCTGACGGGGCCCCCCTTCCAGTCACTGTCCCGACCCTGCACCTATTCCTCCGCAAGCCAAGGAAGCCCGAGTCAGCCACGATGTCCACACCGTTTATTTCTCCCGACCGGGAGGTGGGGGTCGCTGGAGGTCGGGCGGGCAGAATACGGCGGGCGGCGGGGCCTGGTGCAGGCGGGTCGGGCCCGCACGGCCCTCAGGCGAAGGTGGAGCCGTTCCAGCCCACGTTGGCCGCGTTCATGTCGTAGTAGTTGATGTAGATCCTGCGAGGGATGGAAGCCAAGCGGGCTCAGCGGGCTGCACGGTCGCTGGCCGCGGACTGCGCGCGCCCCCCGCCCCGCCGCGCCCCCACGCACCTGTCCGGGCTGACGCGCAGGCGCTCGGCCAGCAGGCCGCACAGCAGCTTGCTGTAGGAGCGGTTCTGTGCACCGCCAATCTTCCCGATGCTGTGCAGGCTGCACAGGGCGCACGGCTCGCTCGAGCCGCCGAAAGTCATGAGCTGGTCCGGGACCACGTGCACCGCGATGTACTGCGGGGGAAGGGCGCGGTCAGCCGGTCCCAGCGACCTCGCCGGGCCCCGGGCGTCCCCCGTCCCTTCCCCGCGTCCCGGAGTCGCCTCCCCGCGTCCACGGCCCCGGCCCACCTCTTCGGCCAGCACCCCCCTTCCTATTCCCTCCCGGCCAACCTGGGCTGGCTTGCCCGTGGCCTGCACCAGCTGCTGGGTGAGCTCGGAGAGGAGCCCGTCCGGCACGGAGGCGCGGGGCACGTTGGTGTTGACCACGAACATCGGCATGATGGCGGAGGGACGCCGGGCACTGTGCACAGGAACCGACTGAAACGCGCGCCGCAGCAGACCAGGAACCTGAGCTACGTGACCGCGGCCGGGCACCGCCCGCCGGCGGCAGAGGCCCCGCCTCCCGTGACGTCACCGCCGGCGGAGGCCCAGCCCCGTGAGGCTGCGGCTCGGTCTCGCGTGGTGACGTCACCGCCGGCGGAGGTCACCCAGCGTGGCGGGACTCCGGGGGGCTGGGCGATGGCTTCCCGGCCCCGCGCACTGTCTCAAAGCTATTCTCCACATGGCGGCCAGAAACCTGCCTGTCCTTCTTTTCTTTGTCAGTCCTTTCATTTAGTCACCAGTAGTTACTCAGCGACGTCTGTGTGCCGGGAGCTGGGGTTGCTGCGGTTAAAGGGACAGGTGACACCTTGCCTTCCGGGAGCTCACGGCCAGCCAAATAGATGAAGTCCCAGCTCATTCCACCACACGCACTGGGCCCTTCTGTGTCCTTAGTCTCTGGGGCCACATGTCCCTAACGGCTACAGTCGTGGCCTTGTTTGTGTGTGTGAGTGTGAGATGGGGAGAGGTAGTCATTGCTACGGGTGAGAGGGGAGTTGCCACAGCAGAGTCACTGTCCAGGTTCCTTTTCCGCACCCGCTCTTCGGGGTGGGTGAGGATGCTGCCAGGCACCCAGGGGAGGGGCAGGGAGTAGGAGAGGAGGCCCAGACAGAGCTCTGTGGGCCAAAGGCGGTCAGCAACTGTGTCTCAGAGCCCACCCGTAGAACCTCCATGCCTTGGGCAACTTCTTTGCAGGTCTGGGAAACTTGAGCTCCTCAGGGAGGCCCCACCGGAGTCAGGTCTTCTAGGGTTGCCCTCTCACCGAGCCCTGGGTGAGTTCTTTGTCTCTTCCACAGATGATAAGCTTGGTGGCATCTAGTGAGTGCCAGGCATATGAGAGACATGAACAGAATGAATGAATGAGTGAATGAAGAGAGGCATGACACGCAGGGAGGGGACATGGCAGCAGATGGACTGGGAGCTGGATTGGGGCCCTGGCTGTGCCGAGGGCCAGGCCTGAGCCTGCAGGCCCTGACATCGCTGGGTGTAAGGGCCTGTGGCTGAATGGCCGCCCCCACTCCCTGGTCAGAGTGCTGTGCTAGAGAACATTCTCCTAGGCGCTGGAGGGGTCATGGTGCATTTGGCTGAGTCCTCAGAGCTCTCCAGGAAGGTCCTGTCCTTGGTCTCTGGCAGGTCTGATCCAGTTAGGGTGGCACAGCACACACTGGCCTTGGCAATGGCCATGTGATAAAGCGAGGACTCTCATGCCTGTGGGACCAGCCAGCCTCCGGTCAGGAGGTCCCAAGGCCCAGTAGTGCAAATAGCCTGTAAGTGTGGGTTCCTCCGGCTGGGCCTCAGGCTGCTCCCCTCCTCGCTCTTAAACCGCACGCTCTTACCTCTGCCAGGGCTCCCTTACCGCTGATGCACTGATGCACTCCGGGCCACGGCTCCTGCTCAGGGTTCTCCTCTGAGCCCCAGCAGCCGACTCTGCACTTCCTGCTCTCTACGTCCACATCCAAGGGCATGGTTTTCCTCCCACATCTAGTCGCCTGCCAGTGAAACATATCTTCCTCCATTGTCCTCCTTGTCCTCACTTCTCTCCGCCCCCCTTGGTGTAAGTTAGCTGGCATCACCTTTGGCCTGGCTGGCTGCTGTGACAGCTGCTGTGGTGGCCTGCTCCTCCCCGGAGGACTCTACCTCCCTGCCGCCTGGCAGCGGGTCTGGCTGTGTGACTTGCCCCGTGAAATGTGAACGGAAGTGACATGAGTGACTCTAGGCAGAAGATTCAACAGCCAGGGCCTGGTTCGCAGTCTCTGAGAAGGCGCAAGTGGGTGATGAGATGGAGCCTTGCCAGCGAACACCTGCGATGCGCATGTCGCTGAGCTACTGGGATTTTCAGGTTGTTGCTGTAGCAGAGGGGAGCCTTCCCTGATCGGCACAGCCTCGGAGCCATGTACCGTGTCCTCTTACCCTTCCTAGGGCAGTCAGTGCCGTCTTAGAGAGGCATCCGAGGATGTGATCTGATTCCCAGTCCCGCCTCATGGACACTTGGCTAACCTCTCTGAGCCTCAGTTTCCCCACCTGTAATTTGGGATGATAGTAGTGGCCACTTTACAGAGGGGTGTTGGGAGGACCAAATGGTCTAAAGACTGCTGCTAGGCCCCCTGATGCTAGCGGTAGTGCTATGACAGTGCCCTGGGTGACATGGTCTCCGCCCTACGTCTGGCACCACCCTCCCTGGCTTTCTGGATCTTGTGTACTGCCCTTCAGGGCCCTGCTCCTGGCTCCTGGGCCGGGCGTTGGTCCTGAAATGCAGTTTGCCTGTGCTTTCCCTCATCTGACTTGGGCTCAGTTGCTTGGGAAAGCCCCAGAGCTCCTGGCCTGGTCAGGTCTTGTAATGTGCCCAGCACCTGTCCTGTCCTTCGAGGCTGTCACCATATTTGTATCTGTGAGGTGATGCTTCCTTTCCGGTGGTAACTCCACGAGGTTGGGGACTGCCTCTTTTTGGTCATTGCTGTACGTGTACCTCCTGACCCATTACCTTGGGGAGACGCAGAGGACCTCCAAAGATGTCCACGCCCTAATCCTTGGAACCTTCGAATTACAAGGCAAAAGGCACTTCATGGATGTAATTAGGGTTACGCACCTTAAAATAGGGAGATTATCATGGATTATCCGGATGGGTCCAATGTAATCACATGAGCCCTTAAAAGCAGAGAATTTTCCCCAGCTAGAGTCAGAGAGATGCGGCAGAAGGGGAAGTCAGAGAGACTTGAAGCAGGAGAAGGCCTCGGTGCGCCATCACTGGCTTTGATGATGAAGAGGGCAGGGCACTCAGTCATACAACCGCAAGGAACTGAATTCTGCCGACAAGCTGAATGAACTTGGAAGTGGGTTCTTCCCCAGTTGACCTCGAGACACCCTGACTTTGGCCGTGTGAGACCTGAAGCAGAAGACCCAGTCACTTCCTGCTGGACTTCTGACCCACAGAAACTGTGAGATAATAAATGTGTGTTGTGTTAAGCTGCTAAATTTGTGGTAATTTGTTCTAAGAGCAATAGAAAAGTAACGCCCCTGGCATCAATAGGCGCTCAGTAATTATCCACCGAGCAACAGGACACAGGCACCGGGAGGCGTCGGCAGACATGGCTGCCGGCCTGCCTGGGCGCCTCTCCCGTCCTCCTCTCGGACAGACTCCCAGCTCTGTTCGGTTAGAATGTTCACAGTCCCAGAGCCCCTGGCAACCAGGAGTGGCCCCGTGAGGCTCCTGCAGTGTCCAGGGTTTATCGGGCAGCAGCTGCTTTCCTGATGGAGGCGCACCCTACCCCACTCCTCCTGCCCCGCCTGGAACTTGGACACGACCCCCGGGTGTGCAGCAGCTGTTAGGCAGCTGGGAGCTGGAAAAACACAGGCAGAGAAGCGGAGAGTGGCAGCCCCGAGGAGCCTGGGGCTCTGCCTGCTCTGCCCAGTGTCTTCCGCTGCCTTCCTGTTACAGGAGAAAAAGAAGCCTCTGCTGAAAGCACCATTTGTCAGGGTTTCCGACATTCGCAGCCCCAGTGCAACCCCTGGCTGGTGCAGAGGACTTCTTGAGGGCCGTGGGTGAGGGCTGTCGGGCAGAGAAGGGGGATGGAAGGAAACCTCACAATGTCGGGAAACACCAGCTGGAGGAGGAGGGGTACGGCCCACATGAGCACCCAGTAGGCAGCCTTGAGCAGCCAGCCTCCCTGCCCTTGCCGGTTGAACGTCTCCGTGGATGGGATCCAAGTCCCCCACACTGCAGGGAGGGTGTGGGGGAGGAGGGAGGCCCGCCAGCTCCCTCAAAGGGGCTACCTGCCCTGCACCAGCCTCACTGTCCTCGGCATCCCTCCCCTAGTCATGCTTGGTGCATCACTCCCACAGCAACAACCCAGCCAGCCCTGAGCCCCCGACTGTCTGGGCATGCACCACTCCCCAAGCCCTTGTTCACTGAATGTGGTCAAAGTCCAGCAAAGACACCCCCATCCTCCTCCACTCATAGTAGAAGACGACCTGGCGGGTCATCATCCCTGCTGGTGACCCCCCACCCAGCTGTACCCAAAGATACAGGAATGCAAAGAGGGGTGTCTGCCAGGAGTCTGCCCACTGCAAAGGAAGGGCCTGGGCTCGGCGGGAGCCAGTGGTCACGGCCAGCTCTCTCCACAGGACCTAAGACATGGTTCAGAGCAGGGTGATCTGGGTTGAGTTGCTCAAACTCTGTGAGCCTCACTTTCATAATTTCAAAAGGAAGGTGGTAATTCCTTTCCCGTGGACTCGTGTGAAGATTAAATGAGATTTAAGGACAAGTGCAAAGTTCCTGGCATACAGCAGGTGCTCAGTAAATGCTCCCTGATCTTACTGCATTGTAACCAAGCACCCTGGAGCAGGAAATGGACTAACAGGCTTGAACTCCAACAGTGGACATTGGGCAGAGTGGTCGACTGTGCTTTCCTTCTCTGCTGGCCAGGTCCTGTCCCCACCCAGCTCTCCCCTTGCCAGATCCCATCAAGGCTGAGGGCCAGCTGCTCAGGAGCCCCCAGGGCACGTGCCTGCTCCAGCTGCTGCACAGGAGGTGACAATGGTGCAGCCTAGCTCAGACTCACACCCACGAGCAGCTCACAGTAACTTGTCCCAAAGGTGGTGTACTGGGCTTCTGAGAAACCCTCACCTCCTGGAGCACTGAGGAGGCATAAGCATGCACCTTAGGGGGGCACCTCAGAGAGTGTGGGGACACATGTCATTGGAGTGAGCGGGATGAGACCATTGGAGGGTCTGGCTCCCATGATTACAGGATAAATTCCCCAGCCTGGCCTTCAGGGCTCCCACCTCGGCTCAGAGCCCCTCTCCACCACTGCAGTCCAGGTGGACTCTGGGCTTCCCCTCTGATACCTCCCCTCTGCCCAGGGCTTTCCCATGTCCACTGAGCAGCACCCACGGCTCCCACGAAGCCTTCCTGGCACTTCCAGCTGGAAACCCACCCATCTCTAGGCTTCCTCAACCTGGGCCTACGTGGACATGTTTCCATGGTCTGCCTCCAAAGAAAGG